TAAAAACGTAGAGCCAAATAAAATAAAATAAAAAGTTTTCAACGATAATTCCGAAAAGTATTCAAAGTGTGACCTGATCCAATTTTAATCAAAATGAACGATCGATTCATTGAAACGTTATTAATTGAAAAATACATTACTTTTTCTGTGAAAAAAAAAACGGATATTTAAAAATTAAAAGCCAATATTTTATCCAATCACTTAAGAGATTAAGCTAATACAGGAGTTGCCTTTATTTGAGGTTTTCCTTCTACTTTCAGAGAATCACTTGAAGGAAAAAAAAAACATCCTAAAATAAGGAAAACTATCCACATCTTCTGAAAACGCAGTCAAAATTAAGATGATTAAATTTGAAAGTCATTATAAAATGTCTAAAAGCATTTGGATAAAATTATTATTAACATGTTATCTATTTATTAAATCAACATTTAGACCTTTTCAAAGTGGTAATCCTAACGACACAACGACTTTGGATAAAATCTATGAAAATGAATTTTTTTTTTTTTATTCTGTGACTGTTGTCCCTTTATAACAAATTATAAGTACAAGATAAATTCCAGTGTGTTCATAAATAAATTAAGTATTTACAATATAGTTAAATAAAAGTAAAAATATTGATGAAGAGAAAAAGAGACAGGGAGAAAAAATGCATATATATATATATATATATATATATATATATATATATATATATATATATATATATATATATATATATATATACATATATATATGGATAAAACGAATATCCGAAACTAGAATAACATAAATAAACCGGAATTGTTTCTAGGTGTTCTTAAAGAGGAGAGGTTTGAAAGAGTTAACTGATTGTACATGTCTAAAATCAGGATGGATATAATTTCAGAGGACTTGGATTACAAAAGATTTGTCAAACGCAGTAGTTCGGTGAGGAGGATAAACGTCGGAAGTACGGGATCTAGTGGGACGGGATCGAATGGAGTATTTAAATTGTAGGTAGTGAAAAATATAGGAGTGTCGCTGAGTTGTGATGATCTGGTATAGAAAGGTAGCAAGGAAGTAAACAAGGCGTGGAAGGATGGTGCCACTTCAACTCGGTGTAAAACTGGGTTATATGCGTCTCTCTTGAGATTGCGAAATCCAGTACAATTCTAGACTTTTTTTTGTTGCATATGATTAATTTTTTGGGGGATATTGATACATATACATCGTAAACGTATTTATCTATCTATTTGTTTTGTATGATATCATAATATCTTAGTGCAAGTTTTCGGATCGAATCATTTCACATGGTCATATTCAAAATGATTAAATTCAACGAGGAAAAGTTAGAAATTATTGTAATTTTCATAACAAGGACATTTTGAACAAACGGAGATGAGATATGAAGCTTTATTAAACTATCGAATTCCTCTCGTTTCTAATCCTTACAATCCAAACTCTTTCGTAAAAGCCTCAATGCTCCTTACTTTGTCACAAATAAAATTATCCATAATAATCGTAATGTTCTACAAAGTATCTATATTTCTGTAATAAACTCCAAATGCAATACTTTCTAACCTTGCATTCTCTTCGACTCCTGACGATCCACCGGGGTAGTGTTACCCAAAATCGGTCTTGGTCTTGCACTTTGCAAGACCAAGACAAAGGTCGCCTAACTGTTGCAAGACCAAGACCAGGACTGATAAAAGAAATCGATTTTTTAAATAAAAAAATAAATGCAAAATAGTTACTAATACTTGACAATATTAGTTACTATGTGTTTATGATTGGTATAACCAAAATACTTTTGCATTTAACTCCTCTAATTTTTCATTTGGGATTAGTTAGGTTTCTCCTATCTAAAAAATTACAGTAATATCTCTATAATAATAAGTTAATAAGTAACTGCAAGACTGTTGCGAGAGTCTTGCGCAAGACCAAGACTCGTCTTGGTCTCGCATTTGGGCATCACTAAACCTGGGCGTACAAAAAGAATATGGCATCGGGTTTTGAAAAAATGATGATGTTTATATAAAAATATTATACTTTATTTTTTACAAAATTGGAGGTGTTATAATAAAATGATTGTATAAGATATATCTAAAAATTGCAAAACATAAAACAAATAGAGATAATTAAATTTAAATAAATCATAGCTTATTACTTAGTTACGTTAAACACCTCGAACTTAACGGAAAGAAATCAGATAAAATATAATTTACCCAAATGAATGGAGGCAGCAGTTTTCAGGTTTTGGTCTAGTACAAACCATATAATGAATATACTTCATCAGCATTGATTTCTATCTTATATTGACAGATTTTGCATAGTTTCAGTTGAACAGGCTGAAAAATTTCGAACAATGGATTGCTTCGGAACAATAGGAGCTGGGCATGCCAGAATAATGAGATACGTTGTAATAATTTAGGCTGATATTATCCCTTCATTGTTTCACTAAACCAAGCTGTGAAAAGTTTAAAAAAATCAATTTCAAAATCTAAAATCAATAAATAGTTACCTAAAAAAACAAATTTATTTTTAATATTAATTTTCTCATATAAATATCTCATGTTCGACAGAACAACACTTAAAATGCATACGTATATACATATAAAATATTTGTCCCTCTACATATCAAGGAGGAATGTTCCTAGAATAGAATTCTATAAATAGAAATTTCAATATCTAGAAAGATAGCAATATTCATCCTTGCCATAAACAAAAATAACATTAGCTTTTTTTTTCTATTAAAAATATTTGAAGAAAAATATTTTGAAATATATTTTATCAGATTTAATTAAGTCGAACTTTTCTTTCTCACTTATTTTCGTAAGGGATAAAATTCAGAAATTTTTCTCACATGGCTAGAGAGATTTTATTTGATATAACATTTTTTTTTTCAAATCCAGTTTCCTAAAGATCAATATGTGGAATGTTAGAAGGAACTTTTGTTTAGATAATTTATCTTTTTATTAATTTTTTTTACTGTAATAATTTTACAAACATTGAAATCTGAGTGAACATCACGAAAGAAAACAAGACAGGATATGTATGGCTAATTAAACATTTAGAATATACATAGGGTTGGTGCATTGTACATGCATCATATATTTTGACGATACAGATATAATAAAAAAAAACATATTAACATCATAGGTTCAGTACTTAGGGCATGGCATAGTAGGTACAAAGAATCCAATAAGATAGGCTTTAAAATAAAATAGGAACATTACTTACAGTGGAAAAATGTGACAAAAGAACATTATCCTTAATTTCATTATTAATACTATGCAAAATGCAAATATTTCTGTTGATTTTTATAAATTACTAACAAAATAATCAAGAGACATAAATGTTAGATTATTATTGGAAAAATTCCAGACTACACAGTCTTGTGTCATGAAAATGCAGACAAAGAAAACCCGTCAACGTTTCGCCAATTCATGTTTCTTCAGAACAGAAAAGAACAGCTAATCGAACATTACTCCATGAAATCCAATTGCATACTTATGCTAATGAGCATGCGAATATGTATGGTTTGGAATTTTTCCAATAATAACCTAACATTACTTGTAGATTTTCGTCTTGGAGGACAGTTTTACTAATTTGATTAAATAATAAACTTTTAAACGTTTATCTTAAAAAGAAACGCTTGCTATATATTCTTTTTTAGAATGATTACCCTTCTCGCATCAGTGAATATGACTAACTACACATTTCTCGAAGCATTCGTAAATAAAAAATAAATAAAATAAAATAATATAATAATAAAAAAAAAAAAAACATTTTCCACCAAGACTTACTTTTTAGTCAGTATGGGTTGGTGCTACTGCCATTCGCACTGTTATCCGGTGTAAGAAAATATATAAATCTAGCTGTGAGGGGAGCCAATATTGGAGAATTGGAACCATTACCATTGGCTACTCTGAGATGAGCTATAGAACAGTAGGAAGGTTTGAAAAAAAAATAAGGAACCAACTCAGATCGTCTTGCGTGTTAACGCTGTATTATGATAAATCCCCACCAGCAGGTAACACATTTACTGATGCACTTCGCATGTGAACTAAACTAGCTTGTTTAGTTCTGTAACGTCATATGAATCGATTGCTATAATGGCAATTATATTTTTCTGTAATGTTCTGAATGGTATTTTTATTCTGAGTGTCCTACTAATTACTATTATATACAGCAGGCTAATGTCGAGTTGTTAATGGTTATATTAATTATTTATATTTATATTGATATTTTAATAAATTTCTTATATATTTGTAATATATTATATTTTTAGTAGATTATATTCCTCAAATTTGTGATTAGGAGTTGATGGTTGACTGCCGTGAATAATGAAGAGAAGGATGGTTGGGGTGATCAGTCAGAAATAAAATGACAAAAATAAATAATAATATTTAAGATTGCTTGGATAGAGTGATTGACAAATACTAGTTTATGATAGGGTATATTAATCAAATATTAGGATATATTATTAACCAATCATTTATATATATATATATATATATATATATATATATATATATATATATATATATATATATATATATACATAAATCAAATTTGTGAATTGTTTAAATTTATAGATATGGTCCCATGCACGGGGGAAGATACAGTTTTATCGATTAGTTGTATTTATTTATTTATTTTTTCTGACACCTATCATAAACTAGTATTTGTAAAAATTGTGATAGTTAAAATAAATGTGGTATTAGACATAGAGAATATCTGAGCTACAATTAAGGTTCAGGATTCAGGGTTGAATTTAGTCAAATAGACCATAGATTTATTGTCCTACGGATTAACGAGTATGCTGTGTATATAGCAACCCAATATAATTGGGCAGAAATCTTTTATATTTTATATAAAAATAAAGTGTTTCTCTCTATCAAATATAGCATAATTGAATCGTTAATTATTTATACAGTTTTATTTTATTTGGTCTTTGAATTATAACATTGAAACGTTGCTGCTTGCCGAGCGTTATTTCCGAGTGCTTTGCTATTTACCGCCACCGATTCGCGATCAAGATGGCTACTCGATCCAATAAAGAGAAGTCCACTTTTGGAAGGGAGCCAGAGGGGAGGCAATTATCATCAATTTCCCATCATCAGCTGTTCCAAGGGCACCACACTCCAGCTGACCTCGAAGATCACGAACACGCCTCAGCGGGGCGTGCCCCGTCCCTATCCTGTTTGCCACGGCTATTTTGGAACTGATGTAACTTTAAAATATTTATGTAACAGGTATTAACATAACTGAGTGGGATCGGAGGTCCCAGATGCGGAGGACCTCGAATTAGCCAAAGATATTAAAAAAACTACGAAGTTTCTTACATTGCTCTCAATAATATTCAAAATATTTATTTTTTTTAATTCAACCATAAGATATAGGATTATTGTTTTAAACCCGCGCAACCCATTGATTATTAACATTTCTTTCATTTATCAATCCTTTTCTTCTATGAAAAACAACTTAAACATGGACGTAATACTAATATAGCTTCCATGTATATGTAGAAATCAAACAAAACGAAATGATTGACCAATAAGTTAAGATGGAAGCATCGCCTTTATTCAAAGTAAGTAAGATCTACACTTCATCAGTTAAATGTAAACATTTTACATTCCAAGTAAAGATGGCCAATGTGAAGACTAGCTGTGGGAGTCTACCAAAGAAAAATTAAGGAAGAAATAAAAGCGCTCACCTCAATATCAGAAGCGAAGAGAGGTAGTCATGACGAGATTAAGAATTATCTAAAGACGGCTTACAAATCCATTTCCTATCAATAAGGATAGAGAAAAAAGATTGCTTTCTCAAACGAGAGCTATTTTCAAGATTTAAGAATCGAAAGGAAACTAGAAACGAAACTGGGAAACAACGTAAGAAAAATAATTAAATTTCTAAAAAAACAATACTTTCAACAAACTATAAAATTAAATGTAAAAAAAATACACTAAAATGGTGTAGGGATGGTTGACTGTGATATAACATGAGAAGGAATTGGTCGGGAGGTGCGGTCAAATAAATACTAAATTTGTAAAAAATAGTATTTTTAGTTGTTTCGCCGACGTTTCGATCCACCTTGTATCTCCGTCAGGACTAAACAGGATGCAAAATATAAAGGGTACTTGGTTATTCGTCAGGACTCATTTTCCTTATCTGTTAACCTACGGTTATCCAATGCAATCTTTACCAGTTTGTAATATACACATTTCTAATCTTTTATCACAATATGTTTACTTATAACTTACACGCTATATTCAATTTCTATTTTTGTTTGTATCTTATATATATATATATATATATATATATATATATATATATATATATATATATATATATATATATATATGATACTTGATATTTTAACTACACTGTCACCCACTATATCTCTGATGTCATCTCATTATTTCTGTATCAGATAACTGTTTCTTATTTAATATCTACTTATAATTCATTTATTTACTCCGTGTACATTTTATACTTTGTAGCCGTGATGAAGACCTGCAAGGTGGGTCGAAACAATTAAAAATACTATTTTTAAAAAATTTAATATTTATGTGACCGAAACCCCAAACCAAATGGTTCTCATAAAATAAAAGGACACAATGGTCCAAGATGAGAGTAAAAAAAAACATAACATAACCAAACCTTACACATAGAGAGCAATCTTAAGATTATATGAACATATTTCTGACTGAGGAGATAACTTTTTTAAGTGATCTAGCAACATATCAGTACTGGCTTCGAGTCCGGCTATAATCGTTTGTACGTAATTATATACTCTGTTAAGCCTAGGATCGACTATGAGATCGAAAGACCCTCTTAGAGCAATTTTCTCTAAAGTGGGTCCTCCCATTTAAATAATCAATTAAAGAGAAAAATCTGACGGTTGAGCGGGATCTCGACTAAATAACTTTCTTGTACAACCTTTCGATAAAGAAACAGTACTTCACTATGAAGCACTGAATCCAAGATCTGAGAGAGGCTCTATAGTTTTAAAAAAATTATTTATTTAAGTATTTCATATTTGGTTGTGTTATGTGGTTTTGGTTGGGTATGGATTAATTACAAATTAGACAGTGACCCAGACAGATTAGGTAAGTGAATAATTAAACGCACTGTTTAATGTTAAGAACCATATCCATTTTAGAATCTTAGCTTTACAACTCCAACATATTTGAAGGAGATGCTAAAGAACATTTTAAGCTACCATGGATTTATTACTGTGTTATTTTTAAACATATAATTTCATATTTTACTTTATTCATTTTCTTGATACAATACAACCTAATTAATTAGTCCAGCGAGGTATTGAAAGCAAAGATCTTAATTGAGCAATTATGAACATTTATTTAAAACCTCTAAGAAATTTTAAATAAAATTATAATTAATACGCGAAATTAATCCAGATTTTAATTCTAAATTAAGAATAACTAACTACAAAAAAACACCACTTACCCTTACCATTGTGTTAAGCACATTACATTTTAACAAATTGTCGAGCTATTTTATTGCAATTACGATTTATAATGTGAGCCCGAAAATCTCAATAGCTTAATACTTTATTAATGATCTAATCAAGATAAAAGACAAGTTTAAACACAATAAAACTCTATGTAGTTTTCAATATAGATATCATCGTATAATGTTTGGATCATCGTAATTTGATAACTACGATATGAATAAAAAATAATTAATGTAACCATTCATTTATTATTTTTAATGAAGATGCACGGGATCATTATTCCTTCCCAGCGTTTTATGTTAAATAATCGGTCAAGGGTGTCAGCTTCATAATAGGTTAACAGGTACAGGCGAATATATGTTATCTTCAAGAACACATCTTAGCATTAGCTTTGTTTATAGAAGGTCGTCGTATTGATTTTCGCAGATTATTTCATTTTATATTCCCTAGCATTTTGTTTTAAGTAATTATGGTCCATGAATGAATCTCTGGTATATAAATTGAATTACTGAATAAAAATGTTCAAATTATAATTTGTCTAATGTGACTGTATAATAAAATAAATAAATAAATGTAATAATAATAAAATAACGAAGGGGCTTGGATTTAGAACATGGTAATGATGCAATGAGAAGTTTTTACCCAGAAAGATCTAATATATACAATGGGTCACACTGAAATTGATACACCCCGTAGAAAAACAGAACAATTCTTCAACGGTTACAGCAAATAAATAAAACCAGAAACTCTTCAACAGATTCATTTATCATTTCATTTTAAATATATTCAAACTCAATAAAAGTAAAATATTTAACTGTGATAATTTAAAAAAAAAATTAAAAACTGGGTAATTTCAAAATAATGGATAAAGTCAAAATGGTTCATAACATATCAACAAGAAAATTAACATAGTAAAATTACACTTTACTACTAGAATTAGTTATTAGTTAGTAGTTCATTTGTTCCTATAGTTTCTTGTAGTTCATATAAATCTCATTATTTTGATGTAGGTTATAGTTAATGCATAGTAAAGTTAAATTAATGCAGGAATTTTCATAATTATACATATTTAAAATTTAATCCAAATAAAACCATTGTTGGAATTGTTATGTCTTATTGTTGTTAGATATGTCTTCCGTTAATTTATATATGTTTATTATGAACGTTTTGAGCTCCTAGGCTCCATTGACTTAATTGAAAATTTTTCTAGCTAATGTTTTCTAATTTACCTAAACAAAACAAATTGTAAATTCATCTCTTTGTCATTTTAATCAATAAGCAATATTTTCTACACTTAAAAATACCATTCTATGTTGATGAATTTGCTCATTTTCATAGTCTAATTGCTTCTGTTATCTGTGGTTTCCTTGAATTTTTTTTATTATGACAAAAGTTTACATATGGATTAATATGACAGAGAGGAGAATTTTGCAAACCATTTTGTTTATATAAAATGAAAAAAAAAATAACCAGAAAAAATCTTCATAAAGATGGCCCAGGAGCCCGAATCGCTAATGGGAAAAAAATTAACAGAACAGATATCTTTAATAAAAAAATCGATGACAACTTTGTGATTCCATCTCATAAAATAATAAGGTATGGATTAGTTTTTTTGGGTTAGAACATGAACACGCGAACAAAATGTACAAGAATCTAAAAAAATTATAATCATCCTAACATACTAACAATTTTTTTGTTTTATTTACAGCATAAAATCCTCACATCATACTAAAAAAAAAATAATACAAAAAAACCAAGAGATCTAATCTGATGATTTCTACACTCAGCGATCCGAACCCACTCAACACATGTCGAGTATTCTCCGTCCAGATAATTTCGCCTACGCAACTTGATTATTATTTTTTTTTTTAGGCCTATATAGGAAACTACCGCCGACAACGAGATAAAACCCGATAAGGACTCAAACTCCTCGCATCTATTCTCTCATCTGAAAGCCTTATTAAGATACTTGAAAGCGAGAATCGCGACTTCCACACAAAAGCATAAAAAAAATTAAAAGCATGTTTGAAATAAATAAAGCTCCTACAAAACGAATCCATATTTTCTGTGGCTATGTACATATGCAAGAATTTTTTTTTATTCTATTCTTGTTTGTTTGTTTCGATGTCTAGGCGCAAAACATCCAGGTTATCAGCGCCCGACCAACTAAATAACACTACTTCTATACTATTTAGGTGGTACCTACAAAAAATAAAAATAAAAAAAGGATAACAAAAAATAATATTAATGCACATAAAGATAATAATAAGATAAACATATAAATAAAAAAATTTAATTATTAATGGAATATATTAATGGAAAATTTAAAATAAAATAAAAACACTTGCAAAGGATCATTAGTTGTAAACTTGCCAGATGTTTTATAAGACTTTCCTTGCGTAGGAACTCCATAACTTCAGTAATGATTTCTTCCTGGTTTCACAAGGATGCTAATATATTCAGGAGTATTTCCAGAACTTTTAACCTTGCGGTCTAAAAAGAGCACTTTTCCAAAACATGCTTTTTAGTTAATGTCTGGTCTCACTTTTTACATCTAGGGATAAGATCTTTTGTTATGTGGTGTGTCAGTCTAGAACTCTTATTATTCTATTCTTAAATATATCATGATCATATATAGTTAATGTCTTTCTCACTATATCTCTCTAATAAATGAAATAGAATAATAATAATAATAATAATAAGCGATAGAATGAAAAGGAACGAAAGAAATTAAAAATTATATAAAAACTACATAATAAAAAAATGGAGTACATAAAATAAGATATATAAAAAATACAAATGTAATAATTAATAAATGATGAAACCTCAACCAATACAACCTATGCAAGTTCTTTGGTTCAAAACTCTCTAAGAAAGTACTGTTCCAAGGTTAACGGTTTCGGAGGGAGGTGATTGGGTCGAGATCACGCTTACCGCCAGGTTTCTCTCCTACATTAATTATTTAATGAAGAATACTCAATTTAGATAGACTAAGTGTACCTCAGGAGGGTCTACTGACCCCAAGTTCTATCCACCACTGATGTAATAGAATAAATAATTACTTTCCGTCAGCCGGATTAGAACCCGGTACCTTGAGCATATTAAATCAGTACCTTACTCACTAAGCACCTACGCTCTCCAATTAGTAACTAATGTAACAAAAAAAAATGTGATTATGATTTTTTTTTTAGAAATCTTTGTGTGGCGTCTCCGATGATTTTAATCAATATCCATTAATACTTTTGATTTAATTATTTTTTTTTATTGTTCCCAATCTAAACCTTTAAAGTATAGCATGAATTCCTTTGAAATGTATTGGTCTGTAATATTGAATGAATTGCATAAAATTGTGAAAACTATATGATTCAAATTTAAACACAAGTCAATATTTTTTCTATTATTGGCCGTTAAACAAAATATTCCAATTAATAAGAATTTAATACATTTTTTAAAATTAAGATTTAAAGAAGAGAGCTAATTAGTTATAGTTAATGAAACATTACTTATAGATAAATTCACTTAATAAACACCATAAATTTTGACGATGATGTATAGAGTTGCCCCTTACAAGGCAGGGTAATGTATGATTTCCAGTCAGCGGGTTCGAAACACGTCATCCGTCATTTCATTATTCTCTTTAATGGATATAAATCAAGTCGGCTGTGGCAGGACGGCACAAAACCGACTTGTTCCGCAATTTTAGAATCAACGGCACTATTTCCTGTTCAAGGTTGATTTTTTGGGAAAATATTTCTTGTTATTCGCGATTTTTTGGTTAAAAAAAAAAAAAAAAAAAAAAAAAAAAAAAAAAAAAAAAAAAAAAAAACAAACGCTTCCCAAGTAATGTCAGTATAGCTTCCTCTCCGTTTTCATTGGCTAAAAAATATCTATATTACAAGGTCTAACATTGTTTGTATGAGAATATCTCTGGGAGAAGCCGTTTTCGGAAATTCAGTAATCCCTCAACATATACATGGGTTTCATAGTTTTGCTCACTAATACTAAAATGTGAATGAGTTCTGAATTTGCAGATTTCATATTTGATGATTCGTGATTAAAAAAAAAATTCCAGTGCATACTGAACATTAATAGCACTAATGTTAGTGCATTTGTAAAAATTGAATGTTTTACAGCAGAGCATAAAAACTCATTGTTTCTATATGATTTATTAGTATGATAGTATATTTTATTGCTCTCTAATATTTTCAATCGTAGCAGACTGCTTATATTGCAACTGATATAAGCAGTCTGCTACGATGGAAAATATTAGAGAGCAATAAAATATACTATCATACTAATAAATGTCACCTTCAGCACTAACAGTAATGATATATTACTTAATAGGATAAATTCAACTTTTTTTTTTGTTCGGAGTTGACTTCACACATATTTTTATACTACAGTTAATTATGATATTTAAGGAGGAAATCGAGACCACTACGAGCTAGTTGAACTTCAATAGAAATAAACAAGACCACAAATAATACTTCTTTTTTTAATTTAAATTTACTGAAAATTAAAGGAAATCAAAGCAACATCAGTAAGTGTCATAACAGTAACATTTGGAATCGACTTTTTTTTTTTTTTTCTGTCCTCCCTTTCCTCGCCTTTAAGGCTATACGGGGGTTTTCCCGGGCCAGGGAGTGTAAGCGGGGATTTAAAAACTTCTCCGGGCACCGGGACGCGAACTCGTGACTATTTTTTTTAATCAAATCTCATGTATCAGGTTGCCGAGCAACGGCGGTGCAGTGCACACGCGTTAGCCCATTCGGCCACCCCGCCCACTATTTGGAATCGACTAAACAATACAATATAAATCAACGTTTTGAATTGAACCTAAAATTTTATAATTCCATAAAGATATTGTGTTAACCTACTTAACCTCCCACTCCAGGTGACCAATGCCTATTTCACAGCTATTATTTTGTTAACAATTATTTATATTAATTTTAATTGTTAAATGGAATTCAATGAAACTGATACCAGGTAATTTCAAGGAAAAAAAAAAAACTTATATTTACTTTTTGCACTACTATAACTTTCTGCTTGTAATAAGATGATTGTTTATAATCTCTAATAATTATTATTTTTAAATTTTGTTATAATTTTATAACGGTAAATTGATTCAGTATTTAAACTGAATCTGAGAGTATTTGGTTGAATGAACCTTTATGTCTTGATCTACAAAATTTATGAAAAATTACATATTTTTTCATCGGGGAATGTGGGGAAGTATCCATAATGTTCAAAATATTATTATTGATGGTTTTTAAATTTGTTTGTAACAAAAATAAATTAAAATGTTTATTATTTCATGAATTTTTATAATTAATAAACGATACACTTTTTAAGTAATTACATGTACACATATTATAATTATATTTAGTGATTTATCGTGTTTTTAGTATTAAAAAAAGTTAAAACAACGGTTATATATAATAATATAGACAGTATTTATAAATAGGTAACTAAAATTATGCGTTTTATGAAGTCTCTATGTTAATTGTCAAATTTGAAAATTCAATGGTTTAAACAAAGAAATCGGATTTTCTTCCGTCGTAATATTTCATTTTAACGTCATTTTCGTGTTCCTTGGCCTTGAAAACATAAGTGTACTAAATTTCAATTTAATCAGACATTATTTAGGATGATGCCCATGTCCACGAAAACCCGTCTTTCATCCCATTGTGCTTCCTGTTAGAAAGGCGAAAAAGAAAAAATCGTGTCGACGAAAAAAAAATGATGAGTTTTATTGAAGATATGGATAAAAATATCTCAGAAACTGAAAATCGGAATTGTATACAGTAAGTGAGGGAATTTTGCAGCATTTCTTCCTCTTTGTAATGGGATATTATTTATAAATTATATTTTATATTATGAATCTCGCCTAGTAAATGTTTTCACTTTTATTGTGTGGTCTAAAGCACACACCTTAGTTGTTGTTTTTTTCATTGTTGTTATGGGAAGATAAATTTACACCTATCTCTACCTATAGATAGGCTATGATCTACATAACAATAAAATATGAGGTGTTGACTTAGATATAAATATTTTTCTATGAAAATATCTTGTTCAATAAGCAAGAGAAATTTTCTTGGATATGTCTGAAGCAGTTTTGGAATGAAGGTGGCAATCTTGGAGCTGTCATACTCAGGCCTCATCGCTGGGAACAGGTTTCATCAGCTGGTGTCGGGTCATCGTTCTTTGATCACCACCCTGCCCGCTACAAGGCGGGGCAAGTTCAACCTTCTTACGTACAAGGCAGTAAACGATAGTATTATCTATCTAACTTTGTAACTGCGAATGGACGAAATACGTTGAGCCTAGATAGGATGCGATTGTAAAGTAATTAATTTGCCAAATCAATAGCAAAATGAATCCTCGTCTAGAACCTGAGTCCGTTGATGCAGAAACATAGGCGTCCATGCTGAGGAAACAATGGTAATTGAATTTAAATATGTATGTAACAAAGAGAAGGACTCAGAGTCGCAGATATACATAACCTAGAAGAATTAGAATTTTTTACTTTCACTTACCTACATATATAATATATAGTAAGAGAAAGTATTACGATCGTGAAAATTTTCGAATCTGAGTTTTCAATGGAAAACGTTCTGTGTGTATGTTATCAGCCTAGCTCAACAACGAAAACTCGTACGAAACTTAAATTGCACATTTAAAGTTTGTACATACCTCAGATGTTACAAAATGTTTTTTGTCGAAATCGGCAAACCGGAAGTTGCACTTTAAATAATCGCACAAACACATTTTGCTATGTTATCAAAAACGGCTCTAACGATTTTAAATTAAACTCGGTGTATTATACTATAATTAAGTGATCTTTAATATCATCAAGGTCTGATCCCCATCGATGTCACTTTATAGAGCTTAAATGCTAAAATGTACAGCATATCTTCCACTAAAGTGCCTTTAATTTGGTTTATTTTAGATATTTAACTATCTCTCATTACTAACCGTTTCTAAAAAATGCTAAATATTACTTTTGAAACAATTCGATTATTGAATAAAGCAGAAAAAAATAAAAATGCTTATCCAGGTCGAAAATGAATCTCCGGAAATAAAAATTAAAAAGGATATGCATAATATATCGTTGTCAAGCCAAGAATTTTCGAAAAAACAATATCTAATATAGAAAGAAGGCAATGGAGAGTGACGAAAAGTTATAAATAATAATTTGTGGACAGTAATATTATTTAACAGAAATCACACGTCTTTGAGGAAATTCAATGGAATTTACTAACTAAATGTAAAGTTTTAAAATTTTTGAAAACGATATTTAAACCCTACCTAATTAAGTCAATGACAGTCATTAAAAACTATTTCATTATACTTGTATAAAAAAGAAGTGAAATATAAAAATATTTCATGGATGTATATTTGTTTATATACCTTAAATAAATTTAATTAGTTTAATAATTCAAGATCTTCAATTATATTTAAATAATTATAGGTATCAACGCCTGTGTTTATTCCGAAAACCGTCATGGTACATTATAAAAGATTAAATTAGGGAATAATTAGCTGAATTTTCCCTTTGTAAAATCCCAACATTATCCACTTACGATTAGTGTCATAAATTTTCACCTATCTATACCGGCCAATGAAAATCTCGTACTTTAGAATGGAAAATTGTATTTATTGCATTCCGTTGATATAATTAATATTGTTTATGTTATAATTAATGATTTTTTTGCTATAAGCTTTAGGCTATAGCTTCGTTAAAAATGCTCTTCAAAATTTTTTTTAATATCCCAACATAATTTCTATTCAAAGTAGAGCGGTAAGTGAAAGTTGTGTATAGCACGCATCAGATTTTTATATATATATATATAATACATATTAAACTTTAAATATGCATAAAATATGGGGAGGGGATGGAGAGTCGCAGAGGAAGCTAACAGACGAAGCTTATCTTCAACCGCGGGCTTATCGGCCTATTGTAGCGGCTAATGGCGAAGCTTTCTCTTTCACGGCTCAACAAGTACTTCCCGCTGATAGCGCTTCTATTCCCCAACAGTTCCTTTATTATTCAACAGATTGACGTTTTATTCAATGGGTCTCCGTCACTGGGAAGTGGGATAAAAGGGGTGGTGTCTAACTATAATAAGGATTTGTAGGAACTTTTCGAGATAAGTCCAGGACTTACATGTCTTCGCCAACTAAATCTTAAATTCCCTACATCAAAAATAAGATCATAGAAGAATAAAATTGGTATAGTCGACAAGTCACCGTTGATAATTCTATTGTATTGAATGTGCAGATATGTGATTTGAAATATATTTCATTATTTAAAAATAAATAGTTTAGTAAAGGAAAAAATAATTATTAACCTGTGCTACTAAAAAAACACGGAGGGTCTTGGTTTCAGTACTTTGTAAGGGAATACTGTTTCAAGGCCAACGGTTGTGTAGGTGAATGGAGGTACTTGGGCCAATTTCCTCAAAGGAAAATTTCCTGCCTTAAATAATTATTAAATTAACAGTACCGACTTTAAAGAGACTGGGTGCGTCCCAGGAGGGTCTTCTGATCCCAAGATACATTCACGGCTGATGAATAATAAATAATTTATTACCTGTGCAAGACTAGTATCCGTGACCTAGAGCATTGGAAGTGAGTACCTAACTCTTTGTATCCTATAATTTTATAAAGGAAATCTTACATTAACTGTAAGTCAATCTAGTATAGGGCGGGGTGGCAGGGCGTTTACCTGGCAAACTGATAACAAAGTTACAGACGACATAATAATTACGAGTTTATGTCCTGATGCCAGGATTTTTTTTTAAACTCTGGCAATAATCTTTAGCCCTTACCTCCTTGCCCGGGAAAACTCCCGTATAGAATAAAAAGTCTAGGACAACAAACGACAAAAAAAACTGTATACAGACCGAGGATAAAATTTATACAATTAAAAAGAGTATGTAAATTCTTCAGTGGATCATACTATAAAAATTATATGGAGAGCTTTGCCCTAAACTAGATTAAAAACGGACAAAATAGCAAAGTTCTTTTTTTTTTCTTTTTTTAAAAATTTATATTGCTCCTTTATTTTAGAAATACAATATTTAAAAACATAAATCTTAAGAAAATAAGATATGTTATATGATATAATGTTGGTAGCTACGCCATCCAATCATAATAGAGTGTATGAATTGATTGCTCAACATTCAGTCCGGATTTCACTTTTTTGATAGATAATATGAATTGTAAAATTAAATTATTAATTAAAAGTATGAACTTTAATTAATCTGATTAATAAAAGCTTGGATATATATTTTTTTCAAATGAATATTCAAATTTATTAGTATTATGAAATATTAAAATTTATTTGACAGAGATAAATATCCCAGAAGATAATTAAAACGGAGTAAGCTTCGTAATTAATACGATGTATAATTGGGTTGGATTAATATTAACAACAATTTGATATATTCCTTTAATGAATAAAGGAAGAGGACATTCAGGGATTACGAAATACATTACTCATGCATATTTTCTTTAAATCCTTTACTCGTTACAATACGTATAAATTTCTCTTTGAAACATATTTTTTTTCTGAAAATAATATATTCTAAGCGTTTTCATTATTGAAAAGGAAAATAAGTAGCCATTTTCATTTTTTTTTTCAGCAAAATTATACCGCGGCCTCAGTTGGCCTATTGTGCGCTGGCCATATCCCCTTCAAAACCATTCAAGGACAATGGCCTTTGCAAACCTAATTAGACCCATTGGGTCTATTGTTTCGCTACGCTTCGGATCTGGGATTCGGTCAATTCCAAAATGTAGGAACCGAGTCCTAGCCAGGATATCACAACCACAGATTATGTGGAAAGCGGTTTCATCTTCCAGCCCGCAGAATCTGCAGGTTGGTGTTTCTATTATTCCCAGATTATGGAGATGTTTATTCAGTCGACAGTGTCCTGTATAGAGTCCCGTAACTGTTCTAAGATTCTTCCTGTCCATATTGAGGAGTGATTCACTTCTCTTCGGACAGGGCCCATCAAGAAACAGCTTTGAATGTGTCTGTTTCTTGATGTTTTTCCAATGTGCCCTAAACTTATGGCCAACGGTCGCTTTAATGCTCCTTCTGGCATAGCTAGGACTTATGCCACAAATCGGCTCTGGTGCCGTGGGGATGCTTCCGGAGCCTTTCCTAGCAAGATGGTCTGCCCTCTCATTGCCCAAAATTCCCGAGTGTCCCAGAGCCATTTTCATTAATACTTTATTCATTGAAAACTAAAATAATTATATTCAGAATTATAATAAATACAATTACATATGTCAAATATGATAGTCAGTGGTACAGAGATTGTTATTAAATTATTAACATCCGCCTAAAACTTCATGAATACGAAAATTTTCGGAATCGTGGAGTTTTAAATCTGGATATCGCAAACTTTGTCTATTTAATTAGGTATAAAAGCTCATGAACCATTTGCTTTTCACTTGAATCATAAGGTAATTTGATCACATAATCGAGAATAAAGATTGGCTACTAAAATCTTGGGCAGTTTGGCGTGATCTCCATACCTACTTGTCAAAATAACAAGGTTATACAGACCAAACGTCCCAATATTTTTGTAGCGTTATATTTATGATTAAATTATCTTAAAATTCAAGTCGATAGCCAGTAGTATTTATGTTTTTAATGCTTAATCAAATTAATTAATTTAAAAGATAAAAAATTGTAGGTTACGATATGATGAATCCATTTAAGAAGTTTTAGGCTTATGTTAATAATTTGATAATAAGAGGTATGAACCACGGACTATGATATTTTCGATGCGAAAAATATAGCTAGTAAAAAATAATTTATGTTTATGATAATAATAATTATTTTTCATGAAAATTCTTATATTTATTTTCTTCTTCATAATGATGTTGTCTCTTTGATGAAAACATTATTATAATTAATTAATTTATACTAAATGTCTATAGTTATATAACCAAACTGCTGGTATGCAGAAGCGATCACACACGAAGTCGAATGATGCTATGCATAAATGAGCTATTATATAAGCACGCCTTTCAATGGAATATATTTCCCATTGTGCAGATCCCGGCAAGGATGATAAGCTATTTGCAATCCCTCGGATCAATATTTACAATTGAGGACTCAATTGCCGAAGATGCAGGACAACCTTGGAGCCAACTGGTATCGAAGGCCGTTAGGAAGTCCGGATTTGTTCACACCATTAGTCATATCGGTTATGTAAGGCGGCCTGCCCCCAACAGCATCCTCCCTTCGGGTCCACGC